ACAAAAAAAACGTTGAATTGCCCCGAAAACGTCGAATTGCCCCGCCGCACTTTACTCCGGAGGACCGTTAAATTGCAGGCGCTTTTAGCCCGCACGAGTAGCTTGATTCTTCCCCAAACCTCAAGTCGCTGAGGTTCTGAATGTTCCAACACCTGCTCTACGACTGAATGGCCTGTCCCGCTGCCACTGGTTCCATTTACTGCGCTCGCTTCATCAAATCCGCCCAGCATGCAGAGCGATTGGGGAAGTCGAGGTCTAGAAACTGTGGCTGCTGGCGCCTCGTCGCAGAGGTCTTGCGAATTGGGCACTCGGGTTACCTACCCGTTGTGCACAGGTTGTGTCAGACAGGCCTCCCCTCCGCCTAAACCTTCCCGACCTCTGTGCTCTTTTCCTATCTTTTCTCTGCAGGCGGGGCCACCGTTGCCCAGCCCCTGGAAGACTGCCCGGGTGAGTGTTATTAATCTTGGCAAAAAAAAAAAAAAAACAGCCTGTCGGGCTTGTCGTCTTTCTCTCCGACAAGATGGCATTCTTGAAAGGAACAAAGGGGGAAAGGCGAAATGCCCACCATGTGTAACACATGTCTCTTGGCCCCCTCCCCGCTGGGCGTCTCCCCGGTGGGTGTCTCGTCTCGCCTTGTCTGTCTGGACGCAGGGCCCGACATTGTCGACGGGGGGTCGACGGGGGTGCGCGACGTGTGGGACCTCTCTCCCTGGTGGCTCGAGCGGACGATGCCCGGAGACTTTTCTTTCTTCCTCATGCGCAGGCTGGGCGTTGGAAAATGACGGCTTGTTAGGGCATGATCGACCCGTCGGGCAGATGCATATCAACATGACGGCGCGAGCTGTAGGCACATTACAAGGCCGGCAAAGCAGGTTTGCCGCTTGCATAAATCGAGGCGCGTCTTCTCATGTCATTGATGAGGCGGCCGCAACTCTCTCTGTCTGCGTCGCTGATGGTCAACAAAAGGTTTGGACAGCCGGCTGGGCGACTTAGCATGTGGGGGGGCCTACGCACGACGCTAACAGGGTGTGCCCTGGCCCCCCGTTCCTGACTCGTCTTGGCAAAAAAAAGCAGCAACTTCTGATGGAGGCGGGCTTCTTTTCCATCACAATGGGAATTCCGTGATTGTGGATGTTGTTTCGCATCTCCCTTTTTCTTCTCTGCAATCACCGCTCGCTGCCCTGCGACCCGCATAAAAGCCACAGGGGGCTTCTGCAGCCTCTGCTGCTACACAGTAGACGACGGATGCCACGTCGGAGACCGTGCATCGCGGCTTCACCTGCCCCGTCGGGAGATGCCCTCTCGCTTCCTGGGCAGCAGCCTACTTCTCTCAACCTCGAATCTTGGCAGGCCCGGCGTGATGGGCGCACGCTTTGAGCGCCTCCAGGAAAGGCACGGCAGGCCGAGTCGCAGAACCGGTCTCCTACCCGCCGTCGTCGGCCGTGCTTGCTTTGCTCGAGGCAGGCACTGGCCAGACAAGGCAGGTTTGGGTCGAGTCGCCCAAGCCTTGGCGTTGTGAGATTGTCGGTCCGAAGGCGACTCCTCTCCTCAAACGTGGGCCTGGCCACTCTGGACACCCCTGGCCCTTTTCTTTTTTTGACAGATTGGGGTGTCTTTTGGCGGGCTGCTTGTTTGCTCTGTCCGCCCCCTCCCCTACTCGCGTTTGGATCCCCCCC